CTGTTTTGGGAGGTCTTAGAAGGTGTGGCCGTGCTGGAGGAAGCATGTCACTAGGGCAAGCTTTATAGAGTTCTTAAGCCTTGCCAGATCTCTAGTCACACTCTGCTTCCTGTGCTAGTTTGAAGATGTGAGCGCTTAGCTTCTGCTCCTACTCCAGCCACCTCTGCCACCATGCCTACCCACCATGATCGACCCGTGCCCTTTGGAAACATAAGCTAAAAAAGCTTTTTTTAATAAGTCCCTTTAGTCATGGCGTTTCTGTCACAGCAACAGAAAAGTAACAAATACAGCCTGCAAATTGTATGCTGGAGAAAGAAACAACCCAAAGGCTATGAGTCTGCCCACCACACATGGAAGGAAGGGGTGACTCTCCACAGTGGATGGAAGGAAGGGGTGACTCTCCACAGTGGATGGAAGGAAGGGGTGACTCTCCACAGTGGATGGAAGGAAGGGGTGACTCTCCACAGTGGGTGTGGAACTCACACAGCTCAAAGAAACAACCAACCTGATTTTAAAATGGACGAAAGACCAGAGCAAACATTTCTCAGTGAGGACCTAAGTGGCCTACGGCACACAGAGAGGAGCTCAGGTCCACAGACCACCAGAGGTACAGATGAAAACCACGGTGGGACATCCTCAACACCTGTGAAGAGCGGCAGCCGAAGACAAGAGGCAGTAGCTGCTGCTGGGGATGCAGAGAAAAGGGAGGAACCCTACACTGTTGGAGGCAATGGAACCTGGCAGGGTGAAGGTTACACACAAAAAAATCAGGGGCTAGAGAATTGGCTTAGTGGTTAAGAGCGCTGACTGCCCTTGCAGAGGACCCTAGTACAATTCCCAGGACCCACATGGCAGCTAACAACCATCTGTAACTCCAGTTCACAGGAAGTCCTGCCAGTACAAACATGGAGGAACCTAGTGGATGTTATGCTAATGAGACAAACTGGGCACAGAACACTGTATGACCCCACTTACATGTTGAATCTAACACTCTAAAAGTATAGACTGCCAGGGTGGGTACCTGGCTGGGGAGGTGGAGAGGTGGGAGATGTTAATCCAAGGCCAAGAGCTCCAGCTCAGTAGGTAGATGGGTTCTGCAGACCTAATGTGCAGTACAGTGACCATAGACAACACTGTGCTACGTACAGTTTGGTTAGAGAGGGCTGGCATGTGGCTCAATGGTAGAGCACACTCTTGTATGTGTGAAGCCTTGGATTCAATCTTTAGCCACACACACACACACACACACACACGCACGCACGCACAATCTGCTCTGAGACTAGATCTTAAATGTCTCACCACACACAAAATAGCATGTAACCCTATAAGTGATGGACATGTAAACTAAGTCAGTGATAGTCATCTTGCGTGTACCTGTGTATGAAGTCATGAATAGCACTACACACCTTAAATGCATGTCTGTTCCCTCAGGATGACCCCAGGATCCTGCACCTTTAGGGTGGCAGCTCAGCTGGGCCCTAGACCTGAATGCCCTCAGTAAGCTGCAGTGGGACTGGTGTGTCTGGGAGGGATGGGATATCTGTGGGCAGTTCAACCAGTGCCATGCACAAAATATTTATTTACAGGTTGCCAGGAGTAAGAGATAAGCATTCAGGTATTTTTCCATGGAGGGGTCTTGTCTCCTTGGATCAAAGTTAAACAGAAACTCGAGTTAACCGAAGCATTCTAAAGAACAGCATTTCTACACCCTACATTTGATTAAGGAGCCAGATGTAAGTGCCATGGTGAAGGGAGCTGGGGACTCACAGGGTCCACAAGGAAGGAAGCCATTGTCCTGGTGCTAGACAGCAGCTGTGGACTATCAGTGCTAAGCAGAACAGAGCTCCCCACCAGCAGTGTGCTCCTATAGCGCTCCAAATGGCCTGTGAGGTCCCAGCATGCCCTGTAAGGCTCAGACCCTATGTGTGACTCCTAGGAGCGCCAAGCACGCCTGTGAGCCCCACAGCAAACACAGGTTTCAGCTCCCCAGACCTCATTTTCTTCCAATCGCTTACAGACTCCCTTGGAAACTGTATCTGCCTGTCGTCATTCACAGGGTCAGCTTTGAGACATGGGGTGAAAGTAAAGCCAAATGCCCCGGGTCCTGCAGCTCCTTGATCCAAGTTCTATACCATTTCCAGGCCCCACTGAGATAGCTGCAAGGCTTCCTCAAAGCAGCAGCAGGCCCTGAAGCAGTCCTACGCCTGGGCTGGAGGAGGTCAGTGCAGGCAGAGGCAAGGACCCAAGATGAGGCACCCTGCCCAGCCATCACTCCCTCTCATTGTGTGCCTAAGGGACAAGGCCATACACATAGGACCCTTCCCAGGGGCCCAGCTACAAGCTGACCACCAGCTCTAGCCATGGCAACAGGCTTGCATGGGGTAATCCTCTCCTTCCCACATACTATCTGCACACTGCACTGTCTCCCCAAACACCCTGGCACCAGTCACTCACCTCATGCTCTCTTTTGGGAGGTCAAAAGAGACATGGGTAGGGGCTACATGCCTGGCTGGACAGGGGTGCTATGCAGTGCTAGGTATAGAGGGCCTCGTGTGCAAGGTTATGTATAGGTGTGCAAGGCCAGGGGCACAGGCCAGCTGTGTAGAGATACAAGACTAGGGTTGTAGGGGTGCAGATCTAGGTGTGTAGTTCTAGGTGTCCAAGGCCAGGTGTGTAGAGGTTTAGGACCAGGGTGCAAGGCCAGTTGTGTGTGCAGGGCCAGGGATTTAGAGTGCTTACAAGACCCAGGTCAAGCCACATCCCACTGTCCCAGGTGAGGGGAAATGAGTCGGGGCCCACAATATAGTGCATGTGGTAAGGGATGCACCCACTATAGTTCTGGTCAGACCCTGAGGAGGCAGTGCACACTCCCTTGTAGGAATTCATTACCTCCAACCCTCAGCTGTAGCCAAGGCCCTCCCTGAACTTCAACAGTAACACAAAGCTAGGTTCAGTGCCTCTCACCTCCCACTCTAAGACCTTACAGCCACCACTAAGGGGTCAGGCACCACCATGGGGGAGAGGTTAAGCCCACCCACCCCCAGCTATTCTTTCCTATCCCACCAGGAACTCCTCCTGTCCTAACACACACTAAAGTAGCAGTGTCCAACCCAGAAGTCACCCTGGAGTGAAGGAGGCTCAGAGGCCACCTGAGCCTCAGTGGGACCCTCCCCCACCAGCCTTGCCTGGGAAGGGGCCCTAGCCCAGTTAAGTTTGTCATCCAGCTCTGACTCATGGAGTCTTGGGCTATTAGAACTTAGGACCTTGCTGGGGATGCAGCCCAATGTGTCCAGATGTTCAGCCACTGGATGATCAGCCAGATGCTATTAGAGACCCTCTTGTCTGACGCAGCCCCACCTGCCTTGTTGGTCTAAGGACCATATGCACCAGCCCCAACCCTGCATCCCATATAGCTGAGACCCCATTCACAAGAGGCCTGGACTTTCCCTAGCACTCAGAAGGACTTGCACCTTCATGGCCTCAGGCTACCCCACCAGAAACAGAGAGTAAAACCTGGCCAGGCCCTCCTCACTGTGGGCAGCCGCCTCTACTGTACCCCACTATCTGGAAAGAGGGTGCAGTAGAGTATCCTCCTGTCAGGTCACCTCCATGGGAAAGAGCCCATGGGCTTCGTGGGGGGACAGAGGAAAGCGGGCTGTGCCAGCTGTGGCCAGGTGGGAGCCTTGACCCTGGGAGGCCTGAACCACTTCGTATTCAGTTTTTCTGGGAATGGAATGTGTGAGGGTTGGACACTCACTATGGCTCTAGCTGGATAAAATGTGAGCCCACAGCACTGGAGTGGCCCAACCCTCCCAGTCCCAAGAGTGGTCCCTAGTGTAGTCACGAGGGTCCTCTAGGCTTCTGCACACTCCGGGCCCTTCCCCAATCCCTGCCTACGGCCTGCCCCTCCCCCACTGTGCATATTTGTCCAGCCCGAGCCATATTCACCCTCTGAGCGGTCCTCCTGCCTACGTGTCTCTCTGTACCTCCTTCCTTGTGCTGGGCACCGTCTATCTGGCCTCGATCCTGTCTTCTCACAGTCCCTCCTTATTACACTCTTGTTCTGCTCAAGGTCTGTGGAGGCTCTGGGCCTCTACTGCACAAAACTGACCAGAGACTTGCTAGGAATCGTCCAAGTTCATCCCCTGGAGCCCAACAAGGTGGTAATCAAACACAAATTACTACTGGAGTCACTCGCTTGAGTTCAGCACAGTTGCCCAAAGTCCAATGACTAAAGGTCAAGGCCACTTCCCAGCATGCAAATGAAATACACCATGTTCTACAGGCCGGCCAAGGCCTCTGACAGCAGAGGAGTCAGAAGCATTGCTTGGGGTCCCTGAACAGAAACAGAAGAAAGCGACCTGGGCCTGGTTCAGCTGCCCCCAGGGTGATCTGAACAGTATGTCCTCTCTTCTTCCTCTGTACTGCTTCCCACCTACCCAGGGAGGCTGGGTACTCAGGAGCTTCAGACCCTAGCTGGGCAGGTGCACGTGGGCTTGCGCCACAGGCTGGGACCTGTGGTCCTCCCTGTGTGGCTGGCACCCTGCAGCCCCTTGGCTAGGTTGACTGGAGCTGCAGGGAGAAATTCAGACAGTGTGGCTTAGTGGCTAGAGACATGGACAAAACGGCTGGAATTGGGCAGGAATGCTCCCTTGGACAGGTTATATGGCTGCCGGGCTTCTCAGCCTCCCGTCTGCGACTGAGGGAATACGTGGCTAGCTCAGAACCACCCTGTGGACAAAACACACTGAAATACTCAGAGCACTGGGGGCAGGTGACACCCTGTCACACCTGCTGCTGACATAGAACGTGTGGTCATGGCCACGCCCAGACTCTAGCCTCCTCCCCTGCACAGGACACCACACCCCAGCACCTCCCCAGTGCCACTACCAGTCTCAGCAAGGCAGGAGTGGGGACTCTGTGCCAAGTTCACATCAGCCCTGGCCTAGCTCACCTGATGAAGTAAAAAGGAAGGGGTAGGATGGTGGCCAGCCAGTTACCTGCAGCTGGCCCAACGAATACACAGTACCCATCCTCTTGGGAAGGGAGCGAGGCACAGGTGACAGGCAGCCGGCCTCGGTCCAGGTGGCTCCAGCAGGCATCCTCCAGCACCACGCAGAACTGGCGGCAGGGTGGCAGGGCAGGTGGTGGGCCTGGGCCACATGAGGGGGCCAGCAGCAGGCAGAAGAACCAGGCAAGGAAGGGGTGGCAGTGCGTCTGCAGGAGGTCCCTCCACGCCCACACTGTGGCCTCCACCTCCTTGCTGTTCTCATTATGCAGATGATTGGGTAGCCAGGAGTGAGTGATCCCCAGGCGGCTACAGACGGCCAGGGCAGGTGGCAGGGGCAGGCAGCGGCTGGCGGAGGTCAGGGGGCCAGTCCCCAGCAGTGCAGAGTCATTAGAAAGCCCAGGCCTTGCAGAGGTAGTCACATGGGAAACCCAAGCACCAGGGAACCCAGGTAAAGCTGCCATTTGAGAGAGTTGGGCCAAGGAGTCAGAGGAAGAGGGAGAAAGTAAATCGTGTACATCCAGGGAACCCGTCACCAGGGGACCCGCCACCAGGGGAAGCAGAAGAGGCATGTGCCTGTGGATGTCAGAGTGGACATCAGGGCGTCGGTGCTGCTGGCTGGGCCTGGCTGCCATGGCTTCCCTGTCCAGGTGCTGGGGGTGTCTGGGGGGCTTCTGGCTCCCCCAGAGAGGAGCCCTGCTGGGCACAGAAGAGAGAAAAGCTCTACCTGAGGGTGCTGGTGGCATTGAGGGTCCCCTCAGTGGTGCCTGGAGCCTGCCCAGGGAGGGAGACGGCTGGGTGGAAACTGCCAGGGTGCCAGCCTCAGTTGTTTGGACATCTGAGGAACTCGGAGCTCCAGTGCTCGGCAAGAGAGTCACCTCGGTCTCCTGGGGAGCATTGGAGAGCCCAGTAGAGGTGAGGAGGGCTGTAGGGGTGGAGGAGGCTGAGGCCTCCACCCCAATAGAATTCTCAGTAGTGGCATCATCATCCCACAGCTGGACGAAGCTCCGAATGCCCTGTGCCACATTCAGGATCTTGGCTCCAACTCCAGCGATGTTCTCCTCCTTCGTGTCTGGGCTCGCAGCAGAGGCAGCAGGGACTGTGCGGGGTTCGGGGATGGTAGAGGTTGCAGGTGTCCCATTCTGGCTAACTTCCTGATCCTCCAAGGGCGGCTTAGGGCTGACAGGAGTTGTCTGTTGTTCCATGAGGCCATCCTGGGAGACCACGTGCGTTGTGGGGTCCTCTGTAGTCTGCACGGGTGGGCTAGAGTCCCGTGTTTCCAAGGGATCAGTGATCTTGGTGGACCACAGCCAGTCCAGGGTCAGCAGGTTGGCCCCCACAGGCACAAGGCAGCAGGTGAACAGCAGCAGCAAGCAGAGGCGCCTGCTGGGGTCGGGAGCCATCAGGGCTGTGCAAGCCTCGGAGCTGGGGGTGGCTCCTGTGGTCCTGGAGGTGGGGCTTGCCTGGTCCCCACCTCCCCCATTCATGTTTCCCAGCTCCAGTCCTCCACAGCTTTCCTCTACTGCTTCCCTCTGGCAGAAGGAAAAGCTCCAACCCTGGAAATCAAGGTGACCCACCAACCGGCACCTTCAGATTCCATTTAACGCCGTCCTTTCTGCACCTCCAAGAGCAGCCAGAGAACAGAAGGTCATTTAAGGAACAGCCAAGGAACTCCAGCTTGTGCTGCTCAGAGCTGCTGAGTTTCTGCCTAGAGTGTGTGTGGGAGTGGGGGCCTGGCCAGGGTCCTCAGGGACACACCAAAGCCACGCCCCAGATCCTACTCCCTCCATTGGAGAACACCCGGAAGTCCTGGCCTCTGGCCACTGTTCTGTGGTGAAATGGAACTTGAAAAATGCTCAGCTTGTTGCAGTTCCAATTCTTTCATTGTAACTCTTGCTTCTAAGAAATGAAACATGGGGGTGTGGGGATCCCTTGGGCAGCCCTCAAACCTGATGAAACCTTGAAGCCATCCATCTATCCTGTCCTTCAGACCAAGTGTCCACCAGCGCTCCACACCCCTGCAGGCCTCGGTGGACACAGGGCCTCTTTCCCTTGTTAGTCTCAAATCCACTCGTATGACCCACTTGTAGTGTTCTCTCTATAGCGACCAGCTCCACACCAGTGTTTCCATGTCATCATCCACATGTGCCTCCGGGTGTTGCAGGTATTTCAGAACTAGCTCCGGGAATGGCTTGAAACTGACAAACTGTGGCAGTAACTGGGCCTTAAGATGAAGGTACAGGATCCATTGGTCCCACATGCCATCAGTAGACAGTTCTAGCCTCCTGCCCCACAGAGGCCTGTGGTCACCCCAAGTCCTTTAAAGCAGGGCTGGGGAGTAGGCCCCACCTACACCCTAGGTGGAACCCAGAGGCAGGGATAAGACTGGGGACCAGGGTCCATCAGGTGGCCCCTCAGTCTGTGTCCTAGGAACTCCAGGTCCAGGGGATCAGATGCCCTCTTCTGATCTCTGCAGGCATTGCATGCACATGGTGCATTTACATACAGGCAAGACACCCATACACATAAAATAAAACAAAGTAAAATAATTAAAGCCTCACTCCATCCAGAAAAACCCAGGAGCTACAGGAAGCGCCTTTGCCCTGCAGCCTGCTGGGCTGTGGCCACAGGTCCACTGTCAGTCTTCACTGTGACTCTGTCCCCCATGAGCTCAGGCGCTCTCTTGCACTACTCACTTTGGAGATGAAGGCTAGACGGCTACCTGGGCCACCCTCTCTGCTGAGTGTATGAACTCCCACCCCAGGGGCTCCCCCACCTCAGTGCCTGCCCGACTGTGAGCCCTAGGCAACAACACGATGCACGTCGGGGAGGAACATGCCTATCTGGCTCCCTGGTCAGCTTAGCCCCCATGTCTCACCAGCCTCCACAACATTGGGACCTTTGGGAAAGTGAAATTTGGGGAGCAGGCTATGGGCCTCCATCTGTAAGATCAATACATCCCAGGGCCCTGGACAGAGGAGCCCAGACTACAGTTGGCAGGGTTGCTGCAGCACCTCAGACAAGACCAGGTACTGGGCTGGGCCTGACCCACACTGCTCACCAGGCCCCTGCTCTGTGCCCAGACTCCTCCCCAGTCCCAGCTTAGCATCAATTACTGACATGGCGAAATGGGTAGGAAGCAAGAGGTCCTCCTGGAAATGAGTGTCACGCAGGGCTGATAATAGTTAATGAGACTCAGCCGTTGCTAAAAGAGGCTGGTGTTGTAATCTTCCACTGGCACCAGCTCCTCTGGGAAATGCAGTCAGCCAGAGATCCACAATGGTGGCAGTTAAGACAGGGAGGCTGGGCCCACCACATGAGGGTGGGGGTGGACAGTGAAGAGAGGAGGAAGAAGCCAGGCCTGATTACTGGCATCCCACAAAGCCTTGCACTGCGTCTGTGAGGCTGGCTTAGGATGCAGAGTAGCCTTACATAGGTAATTTCCATGTGCCAAGGCTCTGTCTGCCCTGGGGGAAGAGGGCAGGGCTGTGGGGACACTGGGCGCTTGAAAGGAATCCAGCACAGTCGCTCCTTTTGAGCGTTTCTTTTTTTTCATGTGTGTATGTTGTATGCATGTGTATGTTTGTGTGGGTTAGATATGCATGCAGGTACACATGAACATGTGTGTGCATACAAGTGAAGCCAGAAGTCCACAATCAGGTGCCTTTGTCAATACCTTTCTGCCTTATTTTTGAGACAGGATCTCTCACTGGATTGGCTAAGTTGGCCAGCAGGCTCTAGGGATCCGCCTGTCTCCGATTCCCCAGTGCTGGGATTACAGACACTTTACCTGGGTTCTAGGGATCTGAACTCAGGGCCTGGTGCTTTCGCAGCAAGCACTGTACCAACTGAGCCATCTCCCCAACGCTTCCTTTTGAGATTTTAAATAACAAATCTGAGAATCCAGACCAACTGAAACCAATCTAACAGTTGACAGGTGTTTGCATTTCTGAGACATTCTGTGTCTTCCATCGACAGGAAAAAAACCAAGGAAACAGGCTGCCCTGCAGGCCTGTGTTCCAAAGCCTCTGTCCAGGGCCCCATAGGCCACGGCTTGCTACCTCACTCCCACGCTGCCAAGGAGTGGAATGCTGCCGCCATCAAAGGGGTCGGCGGCTTCTGAGATGGGACAAATGGCCCTGAGGCGAGGATGTGGGTTGTCCTGGTTCGCTTTCTCCTGGGGCCTGGTGGGACTGGCTTGGCCTCTCTAGGATGTTGGGGATGTCTCCACATCTACCTGATCACTTCCCACCACGGCAGCACCTAGGACCCCCAACACAGGAAAGGCCAGCATTCATCCAAGAAGGAATCTCACTTCTTCCCAGCTCTGTACCAAGTCTGGGCCAACATGCATGCCAGCTCTCCTGTGACGGCAGGACCAGAGCCTCAGGCTTCCTCCAGGCCTCGGTGCCCGGGAAGCACCCTGAAGAGAGTGACTCCCATAGGGAGCACATGGTCCCCAGAGCCCTCGCTCTATCAAGGATGGAGGGCGGGCTCAGGGCCAGGAGGAGCATCAAGGGAGGAAGTAGCCTTCAGGGAAGTAGAGCCCTTACTAGGCTGAAGGGGCAGGACCATCAGAAACAGGTCAGTCACAGAGGCCAAGGAGAAGGAACTCAGGGTTCAGGCGGTGACCTGAGAATGAGAGGCCAGAACATGTCAATGAAAAGTGTTGGATGGCAGGAAGGTGGCAGGGTCACCATGAGAGAGGAGCTCTGGAGAAGGCGCTGCTGCCCAGGCTAGCCAGCCATCCTCAGGGCTGTTCAGAGGACCCTCCAGAGAGCTCTGCACTCAGCCATGTTTGTCCCATCCCTGCTTCCGGCCAAGGTAACTCAAGGCAGGACATGGGCTCCACTCTAGCACTGCCACTAAGAGTCACTTTATGGGGCAGGAGCCTGTGGCTTCCTCCCACAGTCTCCCCAGGGACAGAAGGATCTGGGTAGACAGGAACAAGTTCTCCCATTTGTACTCCACAACACCGGCACTCTCATGGGGCTTTGTACAGAAGGTGAGGCTGGTAGAGTCCCTACAAATGGCTAGGCACATGCTGAGTGTCCTATGAGAGCCCATTCACAGAATGAAACAGCTGAGGCACAGAGGTCTGCGGGCCACGCTCAAGAGCTCAGAACCATAGGAGATAGAGGCACAGTGGCAGCCTGTACATGCACACACACGTACTCACCCCTACAAACACATGTACACAGACAACCTGTAATCACACACAGACATACTCACACACACAATTATCACCACGCTTACACCATGCCCCACCCACAGCCTTCAGCCAGCTGTCCCTTCTGCCCGAGTCCCTCCTGGCCCTGCTTTCTACAGGCTGTGCACAGAGCTGCTGCTGCCCTCCCCGAGGGCTGAGTGTGGCAGCTGTGCTGCAGAGTGATGAAACAGCCCCCAAACCACGTTCCCAACTGTCCCCAGATCAAAATGCCAGAAATCATCAATCGATGACTGTCCAAAGGGCAGAGATGTGTTGTTTGGATCAGAATTCTGCTGCAAACAGTTAAACATCAAGTCCTTCTCTAGGGTGGGGAAGACCATGTGCACACATCTGTGCCTCTGAGTCCTAGATCATGAAGTTAATCCCACAACACTCTCAACTGTCTTAGAAATGCCCAGCAAACAGTATGCTTGAAAATTCACTAATGTGATTTCATGCCTCAAAGTATCTCTGGAAAATCCCAGGAAGTTCCACAGACCATCCCCCACACATGAGACAGAGGCCTGGGCTCCATGGGGGCAGGGAGGCTTGACTCATGTCATGTCCTGGCCTCTGCCCCATCTAGACGGTTACCCCTGGGGCCACTCACCTGGCAGGCTAGCCCTGTACCCAGGAACTCAACATGTAATTTCTGATGGAGTCAGGAGCCAGGGGTGGACAAGGAGCAGGCAATGGTATGGCCATAGCTCCCACCTCAAGGGCTGTACTGAGGAAGGCAGAGGCCCTCCAATCCGAGTGCCCACACCTCACCCACCTGTGCTTTTGCTCCAACCTATCTGCCTGCCCATTTTAGAAACAACACATTCAGTTTTCTCAAAAGTCATATGAATGTACTCACAGCTCAGGCCCCAAGCCTTGACACCTGCCATGAGGAGTCCTGTACCACACATGCTCATGTACATTTACACATACACATGCTCATACACTCATCATGCATGCTCACATATGCACATTCACTCATGTACATACATGCGTATACATTCCCACAAGTGTGCTCATTCACACACATGCACATGCGCTCACAACGCATATATATTCACCTAAGCACATGCATGTGAACAGATTCCCACTCACATACATGTGCACTCTCACATATACTCACACACATGTACACTCTCATACAAAAAAGCACATCCTCCCATGAACAATTGCTCGCTCATGAAGTGCCAAGTCCAGGTCTACTAGTAACCATCCTCTCTGCCCCTCCCAGCCATAGAGGCCCATCTGCACCTCAGTCTGGTGCCACTGTGTGCCCACAAGCAGCACACAGGTCAGGGTTTCAAGTGCCATTTTACCCTTTGGGGCAGAGGGAGCAGAGGCTTAGGAGCCAGGAGCAGCATCAATCTACTCTCCTACCCCTGCCTGGTGAAGGTAACCTCAGGCCTCTAGGAGACAGAGAGCATGGGGTCCTGCAGGATCTGAGACGCACAGAGACAGCTCAGCCTCCATGTCACCTATTACAACACCAGGAGAGAACCCAAGCTAAAGAGA